TGATCATGCAACGATCCACAAAAGGCCGTGGATTGAGCTTTGCTTTGAAACTGTTATGTTTTGGCCATACACTCCAGGGTAGATTTATTCAAATGGTTACTGTAGTATTTTGAGGAAGTAAACATTTTTCTGTGATTCCTGTTATGGAAGCAGTGATGTGGACAACAATTAGCTGTCACCAATAGAGTTCACCCTGAACCTATAAAATTCAAATTCGTGTGTTTGTTGCCACTGTCATTACTCTAAAAGAAACATCTCTCCGACGAATCATCCCTGTTCTTTATATGCCCACACACCGTCTAACTCATCGTGCTCTCTTTGCAATTACCAGGGAAGGCTGAAAGAAACATTGGGGAGGTTAGACTGTACAAATGATGTATCACAGAATTGATGAATCATATTATTTTGTTGTTCCTAGCGTTTCTTTTGCTGTACCTAAATGAATAATAGGGACAGGATGCCACCGGAATCGATTGCTAGTTTGTGGAGGTGCATGCAAATACAGATAGTGGTGTGTGAAGACGAAAAGCAGTAGTATACGAAACCGATAAGCCGTAGTGAACAAATCAAACAGATATTATCACTGTAGCACCACCGAATTTGAAGGGACTTAATTTTCTTGTGCCACATACTGAAGAAACATAAACATCCATAACGGACAGTACCTGCGTTGCTGCTCAACATCCACCACCTCAAGAAACTTGTATTTCAGTTGGTGCACTAAAATGTGACTAGATTGCAACTGTTATTCATTTGATCTCGGACAAACCATCCGGTGGAATACCTTTCAAGCTCACTTCTTTGTGCGCAAACAGGATTTAGCGGGGCCTGTGAATTTGGTCGTGATATTTAGCTGTAGAATCATATTTACACCTTTTTATGGATTCGTTCATCACCAATTGCATCAAGATCGACTGAAAGGAAACCAAATGCTACCCTACATGAGCTCGTTTGTGAAATCTTTATGTATTATAGCGCTAACTACACCTTCTGTGAATTATTTCAACAAAGTAGAAATTAGTTCAAGTGGATTATCAAAACACAAGGCGGTTGAGGAAGACAGCATCACGCAGGTTGGTTAGTCGATCTCAGACAGTGTAGTACCAGTAAAACGCAAATCTCTCTCATTTTAGCAAGCAACATACGCTCTCTCCTAGGAAAAATCGACAATCCAGCATACCTCACACGAAAAAAAGAATTAAAAAGCATTGGGACTTTTATGCTGCAAGAATAGTGGCAGCACGGAGAAAATCTCAGTCAACTTGCACAGCTGGAGAGATGTAACTTGTATCGGGTTGACCGTCTGACGAGTGTCCGTAACCGAGGTGGTGTTGTAAGTTATGTCAACAACAACTGGGGTAAATAGAACGCCGTCATCTACGAATACTCAAAGGGTAAAATCACTTGACACGTCATTGAATGTTAGCCTCGTTTTTTGAGTGGGTTTCGTTCTATAGGTCTCGGAAACATTTACCTGATACCCACAATATCAACGGGTTTTCTGATATTTTTCCAATTCTACCATAGCGAGCACAAGGGGCTCATTGTGTATGTGTTGATGATTTTAGTAACTGTAGTCTAACTTTCCTCAACGCGCTGGGTCTACAAAAATTTGTACATTTTCTACCAGACTCAATGCACAACTAGATTTCGCTTTTACAAATTTTAAAGTGTATCCAAGTGTATACAGCAAAACTAACCGACACACGGTTTTAAGAAGACCATTCAAGATAACAAGTCGGAGAACCTAGAAAGACTACGATCCGTGATTTATGCCATAGATTTTTCGGTGCTTCCAGATCAGAACCCTTCTATNNNNCCTTAATTTTTGCTTTAACTCGTGCTACCCACTTGAAACGGTTTTCATTCATAAAGATAGATAATCATCACCACTACTAAAACAGCTACGCAGGCGGAAAGAACAGGCCTGTGAGTGGGGACGGAGAACCCATGTCAAGCGGCTTACGATTTTGATCAAATCTGAAACAAATAGATGAAATAAATTCTACATAGACACCATCCTGGGTAACATCAGTTGTCGTGGCAAGTGAACAGCTATTGATGGCCTGTGTGGCAGTACCGGTAAACACAAAAGGCGAAACTGTAGACGTCGAAACACGAAATTTCTAGTTCACTCTNTCTGGTTTCACAGTGCACAGCCCTACCCGATTTGGTCAGCTCTACTCCGGCACCAACTATCGACACCGCCACGGTCCTCCGACAGCTACGGAAAATGAAAATGAATAAAACATCTGGTCCAGATGAAATATCACCCGTGGTACTCAAGATATATGTAAACACTTTCAGTTCCACTGCCTAAAATATTCAATGGCTTTCCGATAAGTGGAAAAATCCCTGACATTTGGAAACTGACCAAGATAACTCCGTCCTAAAAAAGGAACATGAGAAGTACCGTCCCATCGCCTGCACGTCAGTTATGCTCAAATTATTGGAGAAGAGCTTGCTACTGTTGGTTTTCACTGAGTCTGACCAAAGCGACATACGTCAGTTTGCATATCGTTCTTTGCGCTCAATACTTGATGCAGTTGTTTACCTTCTTCATTCAATCATATCGACCATAAATAAGAAAATTAAGACCGTTTGGTGGTCTTAGTCGATCGGTAATACCGAAATTGGTGTAAATCCAAACGTTTGCTGACTGATTCGCGATTATTTCACAAACAGAAGGCATTTCATGTGCCTAAACGTCAGGAGATCTTCTGCTCATCCGGTTGTTTCTGGTGTTATGCAAGGTGCAATTTTCTCCATTTTCCTCTTCAATGTATTTCAGACAGTTTTCCACTATTTCCGTATTCATATGCGGATGCAAAGCATCCACTCCTAAAGAGGCTTCGGAAATTCAAAGCAAGCTAAAAGACGTTGTCCCGTTCCCTCTCGTTAAATGCCTCCAAATATCAGGGTGTTGCGTTTTCTCCGTTGGCCGACGGACCAAAT